GAGGCGGTGGTGCAGGAGGAGGAGGAGCTGCAGGAGGAGCTGCTGTCTCAGCTGCAGCTGGAGGGAAGTTTCGACGTGGGTAAATCTCTTTGTGAGTGGCAGCAGAAAGAAGCGTCAAGGCACAGCGCGAGCAACGGCCACGCCGTCCGCCTCAATGAGTCACATGACTCAGTCGTGGGTATCAGGAAGAAAAAGGCTGCCGTGATTTATGACAGTGAAGAGGAGACGCAGGAGGAGGAGGATGGGCAGCTTGAGAACTCCTTCCAGGTTTCCGGAGCATCGACGCCAAAGTCGGCGTGCACTGGCACCACGCCGCTCCGTACTCGAAAGAGCATCGGTGGAAACACGTCCGTGGCTTCTCACCGCTCCTTCCTCCAATCCATCATCGAGGACACGGACAACCAGGACAGCCATGAAGATGATGGTGATGCTTCGGATGTCCATTCAGATGAGGCCGAAGAGGACATGATTGGTTCGGCTCCTGATGAGGTTGAGGAGGAGGAGCCCAGTGGAGAGACCGTAAACTCAGAGGAGGAAGTTGAAGAAGAGGAGATGGAGGAGGAATTTGAGGAGGAAGGAGACACTGAGGAATGTGGAGAAGGGAGCCTCCTGGAGGAAACGTCCACCGAGCCTGAGTTGGCATCAAACGAGGCGATGGATCAGTGCACCGCCGAGACGGGTGTAAAGGAGGTCGAGGACGAGAGCTACGACTCGCTGGTGCGGCGAGGGCGGGAGTGCTACAGCAAAGCGGAGCTGGACGAGGCCCTGGACTTCTTCCTCAGAGCCATCGACATCAAACCCGGAGATCCGGAAATTCAGCTCATGACCATCCAGCTGTACCGGCAGCTGAGTCAGGTGGCGAGGAGATCCTAACAGAAAAGGACGATCGGGGCGGCGAGGTCGAGCTCTGCCGGCCCGCCGCTTCACGCCAAAGCTGTAAATCTTTCAAACGTGTCTGGCGTGTTCGTCTTCTCCGTGAGATCGCGCTGAGTGTTTGAACTTCTTTCAGTGATGTAACTAGAATCAGGTGTGTCATCATCCACCACGAAACGACCAGTTTTCATCTGTGACCTGTACTTATTGTAAAATATTTTGAAATTAAGATTGTCAAATTAAAATTCATGTTTGTCTAATTTAAATTCATGTCTGTTATTTTTAAGGTAATGAACGGCCCCGCCCAAAACCCACCAAAATAAACTTCCTGTTTTATCCAATTGGGCCTCAGATCAGCTGTGCAGGAGCCTCATGCAGGTTTAGGATTCACAACAGGAAGCTACATCCATCTTTTATATACAGATTATAACTAAATCGTCCGATGGCCCATAAAAGACTTCACACAGCTGTGATCCAGCTGTGCAGAGACCAGAACATAAACTCAGCAGGAAGTGCTGAGGATACATCGGTGGGTGAGACCTGAGTTCAGGTCCCTCTGAAGCCTCTGACTCGGCTCTGAAACGTCATCTCCTGAAACGCTTCAGTCAGTGCTGCAAACCTACGTTTACAAAGCAGAACTGACGAGACGCACACAGCGGCGAGAACGCGTTCCCACACTTCCTGTCCAATGAGGTCGCGAAGGTCAGAGTATTTGAGCAGAAACAAATCCAGAAAACATGAAACATCAGTGAGGTCATCAGTGTGAGGTCATAACAGCTCGTTTCCATGTTTCTGTGATCACCAGTGTGCAAATATTCAACATTATTCTTCTCAGCAGTTTAAGTTCACTGTTAGACCAAGAAGCTGAAGAATAATGAAGCTCATCATAAGATGTAAGAGTCCAGTTATTTAATGTTTAACGTCAGTTTAATGTTCTGATTTCTCACTGCTTTCAGATTTTGGGGTAAAAACATGAACTTGGTTTATTTTCTGGATAAATAAAAATAAAAGTTGAAACGTGTGTTTGACAGGTTTCTAAAATACTGTGATGTCATAAATGTAGAGGGGGGCAGGGTAACAGCAGGAGTACACAACTATGATAAAGTATAAATACTGTCATTAAAGTACAAGGTTATTCCCAGCACGGGTCTGAGCAGGTTTGTTACCCTGATTGGTTGAAAACAACTTCCACCTTCAGTCGTGTGACACTTTTAAGTGGAGGTCACGTGATTCATTAAGCGTAAGCTGCTGCAGGAGATTCTGCCTCCATGCCTCTCCCAACACCACCTTCATCATCATCACCCTCCCTCTTCTGCACATGTGGACTCCAGCTCGCTGTCCTGTCACCTCCACACTGCCTGACTCTGAGCCGCTGTTGTGCCAAAAACCGATTTCCAGTGTGAGTAATATCTTTACATGAACAGGGTTTATAACAGGGTTATAGGTAAAACCTTAAAATTACCCCTTTTCATAAAGTATCTTAATAACGCTGTTATTGTACTTTCATTATGACCAATCCCGTCTTTTTCCCACTTTAAATGTTTTATTTGTTGCAATTTCTGACTTTGTTTATAACTGGATAAATAAAGGAGATATAAAAGTCACTGCCAAAAATGTAAAGTTGACATGTTTGACATATTATAGACCAACAAGTCATTTATAGCT